TCGAGATCAACCCGCAACCTAGAAGTGGTTGATTGTCCGTGTTGATTAACACCAACAAATGGTGCAAAAGGCATGTCATATTTGTTTGTTAAGTAGGTTGTATCAAATGTGACGACGTCCCCGAATTCTTTATATGCTTCTCTACTTCGATTATCTGCCCAAAAAATATTCCGTAATTGGGAATCATCATCCAGATCCATGCAGAAGAAAAATCAAACACACCTTGCTTGCATATCTGAAAAATATGATATTATTGCTGCTGCGTCCCCCTCTCTCAGGCTTAACCGTCTAAATTTTTCGATATAGTTACGACAATCTTTCTCGACAAATGTCATATTATCGTATCCACCCGCTTCAAATACAGTAGAATTGAAGCTTTTGTGCAATGGAATTCCGGCCGTGTCATTCACTTCAAGCCTTCGCTTTACACTTGCACTCAATTCTCTCTGGCATCGATATAATCTCGACTTAGTTGGACTGCATTTGTGATTATGGTCGAGGTAAACTTTGTTAATTCTCCAATAACCACGATCATCTAAAGATGCCGAGATTCGAGCTTTGCAGTCTGTCTGAGTTGTTGGTTACGACCTCAATGAGCCTCTTGTGCCACTCATTCTTTTTCCTTCACGACTACATGTGAAAGTAACATATCGTAAAATGCCATCATCATCCTTTCTCGAATTTCTTTTTCTCACTGCAAAACCGACACTGTAAGCATATTTTTTGTAGAAACCAAAGACGCTGTCTATATCTTTGAATTCCATACCAGCCTCCAGGGCACCTATATTCGTACTACAATATGTATTAACATTTTCAATCTCGAGCAACGGTTCATTCTCATCTCCTTTCATTACGATAGCTGAAGATGTCGTCTCGTGGTCTTGATTAGGGATGATGGGGACTGACAGGTTAATTTCGAGCAACGGTTCATTCTCACATCATTCCATTACGATAGCTGAAGATGTCGTCTCGTGGTCTCGATTAGGGATGATGGGGACTGACGGGTTAATTTCGAGCAACGGTTCATTCTCACCTCCTTCCATTACGATAGCTGAAGATGTCGTCTCGTGGTCTTGATTAGGGATGATGGGGACGGACGGGTAAAATTTGAAGATGGCTGCTCCTACTGGCTTTTTGGTTTCTAGAATTTTGGGACTGAAGAGTTTTATTTTTATTTTCTTTATTATGTAAAATAAAATAATAGAAATGAAAATAAAGGTGTGTGTCCCACTTAGAAAGCCACATTAGTTTGTAAATGGAAGTTGTAAGAAAAGGTTGTACGTCCAGCTTTTCTCTTAGAGATTTGGCCAGATTTCTGTTCTGCATAAAAACCACCACCTCTTGCCACCCTTTCTCTGCTCCTTTGATAAGCCAGTCTCTAATGATCAACAGCTCCTCTTCCATAAGAACAAGATGTTGCTCACCAACTGACCTAGATCACATGGATATAAGAACTCCTTCCCTAAAGGCCAAGCCTCTCAGCTCATTGTCAGATGCAATATCACCAGTAGCACTGAGAGCAGCCATCTGCACCCCTACTCCTTGATTCATCACACTCACTGATATTTCTGAAGCTCTTCTCCCCTAGCTTTCCTTCTCACTTTGGTTTGCAATGGAGCTCTCAAACTCCATCCACTCCCACCTGGCCTTCTCCACTAACTGTAACTCAGACATGTCTTCCTTCTAAAAAATTCAACCGTTTCTTGTTTTCCACATCCACCATAACATGTAGATAGAAATTCTATCCTTGTTATGGTCAGTGGGTTTCATTGTACATATATCACTCCACCACCCCTTAAAATCCACTCCTTCTCTGTCAAGTTTGTCCCAATGCGGACCAGCTAGCTTCCAAACTTTTTGGGCTCTAACACACCTAAACATCACGTGCTCTAAAGTCTCTTATTGCTCACCACACCAACACAAAACATCATCTCCCACTCCTTTTGTTCTGAGCATCACTTTTGTGCCAACCCATTTGTGCCAACACCGCCATATGAAATTCTTCACCTTCTGTTTAATTTGTAGACTCCAAGAAGTTTTCCACATTTGTTGCAGTTCTGTGTTTCCTCTTCTAGACTTTATCACTCCATTTGCTTCTCTTTTGTTCTGTCTGCTGACTGAATAAACTCTTTTTACTGTGAAAAGTTCTCTCTTATCAGGATGCCAGACCAGTCTATCCTTCACATCCCTTTGGCTAATATGGATTTTCAAGATATTTTCAGCATCAGGTTGACCAAAAGTTTGCAATATCAGTTCTTTATCCCACTGCTACCCTACCCACCTGTTACCATAAGCTCAGAAATTGTACTCAGCCTCTCCCTATCAGCACCAAATGAACATAGAGGTTTAAAGTTAAGAGAATCTGGGATCCGAGGGGAATACCGGATATTAATAGAAAGACCATTTCCCACGTGAAATCTTAAACCTAACTTCAAAGAGTTCCTAGCCTCAAGCCAACACTTCCAAATTCAAAAATCACTATTCTTTTTTTTTTTTTTTNTGCAAGTTTGTTCCAATTAGCCCAGTGGATTTTATCCCCACCCTCCCTATTTTTACCCCACCAAAAGCTTGCTATGGCTCTACAAATATCCTTACCTTACCGGCAGCAACAGAAACTCTAAACACAGACATAACATAAATGGGCAAAGCATTAAACACTGTTTTGATCATATTTTCTTTTCTTGCCTCAGTCAAAACCTGTTTTTCCAACTAGTCACCTTACTATCACACACTCTTTAACAAAAGAAAAGATCTCTTTTTTATTTCTCCCAATATTGAGATTTCGAACTTTCCATGGCTTAATGAAAGTTGATAGGATCATCTTCCATCATTCTAATGTCAACCTTATTTTCTTGGAAAAACACAATATAATGATTTGGTATTCCAATTTTTCTTTCTCTCGTGGATCTTCTTAATGGCATAGATTCTTGAGGTTGTAGAATTTTTTCTAAATGAGGTTCTCTGGCATTGTTCTGATTTGTGTCCTCAACAATGATAGGAACAAAGCCATGATCAATGCTAATAACACTTGTGGGAAAATCAACACATTCCTCTTCAAAGACAATGTACCTAACTTCATCACCCCTTGCAAACTCAACATCCTCAAAGAGCCAAGCATTTCCATACTCAAAATAAACTTATCTGTAGGATCATAAAACTTATACCTTCTTGATCATTCATAATATTCAATAAAATAACAATTAATTGTCCTTGCATCCAGTTTCCTTTCATTAGTTCTATATGGCCTAGCCTCAGCCCATCACCCCCAAAGTTGCAAATGTATTAGACTGGGGTTTATTTCTGTCCAAAGATCTTAAGGGGTCCTATTAGTTGCTTAGTTGGAACACTATTAAGGATATGCGCTGCAATCTTTATTGTTTCCCCCCATAGTGATTGTTGCAAAGTAGAGTGACTAATCATTCTCCTTACTATATTCTTAAGCGGTCTATTTCATCTCTCAGCAACGCATTCATAGTGGTGAACTCGGCATAGTGTCTTGTGTGCATTCCTCTAGGAATTTAGCAAACGGTCTTGGAAGTTGTACACCTGAACCATCATATATATCGTAATATTCACCACCACGATTAGATCTGACGATTTTAAATCTTTTGTTGAGTTGATTCTCAACATCTTCCTTATAGGATTTGAACAGGTTTAGCTTCAGCGAATCTGCAACTTGTCTGGTGAACTCTCTGAAATAACAATTCTGATTTTCCATCATTCCCCCAACTTCATAACTAATGTAAGTGTTGTTATACCACTCTCCATTATAATGTAGAAACACTATAATTGTCGACCTTTTCCTGCAAATTAATTCACGAAAATCTCACCGAACACTACAAAAATTGGATTGGCTAAAAAAAATCACAAGATGCCACAGTTACAAATTGAGTATTATGTTAAATGAAAATAACATTGTCTACCTTAAATCAACTAATAATATTCAAAAGATGCCTTCAATCTCCCCGATTGCTAGAACTACAATCGCCGTCGACGTGAGATTTGATAGAAATTCTTCACGTGCTTGACATTAAAAAATTTCCCCCTCGACACGATTTTCACATTTCCATAAATGATTTGATTTGTTACTTTATGTTGTGGATTCTATAAACCATTTCAATTTTAGTAGCATTACTTTCATACCAAAATGCACGAGAGGATTGCGGGGAAATTAATTAGAGGATTGCACAACGATTTTTCCTTCCATTTATTGTAGAATCGTAACTTTGTCTAATATTTGTCATGTGGCCACAAATCAGCAGTTAAAAATTTAATCTCATTTAAATGACATAGATGTGAGTTAAACACGTGGATGCGTCTTTTTGCCTAAAAAAATATTGAAAAATGCTACTAGTACATAATAAAACACTCACATGGAGTGGGGTCTACTTGATTTTTATTTTTTTGTAGGACCCACTTAATATGAGTGTTCTGTACGCATCTATGTACTTATAACATTTCTCCAAAATATATGGTGGTATGTAAAAGAGCCTTTTCTAAATCACTTTCTTTCACAAAAAAAAAAAACC